TAACAAATGGTATATATGATTGCACACACTATATTATATACATCATGCTTCCCTAAAATCTAACACAATGCAATTGTGAGTCACTTTTGTTTTCACTCTTTTGAAATGCAAAGCTCACATTTATTGGACACTTGACAATATTGACATCCGAATATTTGAACTAGTTAAGTACCTTTTTAATGCAATGAGACCGTGAAAATGCTAAACATTATGGAGTTCTATGAATTTCTATATCTAAGTTCGCATTAGCAACTCCAATAATTTTCATTCCACTTTCTTTATAGCATATGTTTAGTAGCATTTATGTTATTAGTGTCTTTATTGATGATCAACATATCACCAATATACAAACAAACAATGACCTTATGATTTTAATGTGAACACATTTATCACTTCCATCATTCTTCAATCCATTTGCCGACATGATTTGATCGAATTATGTCATTGTTTGGGTGCTTCAATAATGTGACTTAACAAGTTCACACTCTTTCTTTTATTTACCAGGAACCACAAAACCCTCGGGTTGTTCCATGTAAATTTCTTCCTCCAATACTACATTTAAGAAAGTTCTTTTCACATTCATTTGATGAATTTGGAGGTCATATACCACACTAATAATTGATGCATCCGAATGGATGTAATTCTAATTACTAACGAGTATATATACATTGACAAGATCAAAACCTTTGTTTTGTTTTTGTCTAAAGCCTTTGACATTATTGACACTATCTTTACAAAGAATGAGTCTACAGAAGACACATGAAATGCTACAAAATCATATTCGAAGGAAGTAAATGTCCTTTAACATTTACTAAGCCTCTGAATCTCTTTATTAAGTAAATTATTCTTTTTTCATTTCCTAGGCCTTTTAGACCCTTTTCTAGACTACTCAAGTCTAATTTTACAGTCCACAGTCAAAAGTCCTGTTTTAATTCTTTTAGGAATAGGAACTTAAACTTTGACTAGATACCCCCACAATTTTAAATATTTCAAGTTGGATTTCCTTCCTTTCCATTTATCATATGGAAAAGATTGTATTCTGATCAAACAAAATCGCTTTCTTTCTAAAAAGACGAAATTTTTTGTTGTTTCCTTTTGCAGTAAGGATAGCTCCTCCACACAAGTTTTTTGTAAACCCGAACTTATAAATAATGCATCCATCATTTCTTTCAATGTTCGATTTTTCATTAGATTGAGGTGAATATATCACTAGTTTGATGGATATTCCACTTTCTAAACATATTTCTGCACAATGAGATTTATACTCTCTATTCTTATCACTTCTTATATTTTTTCACACTGATTTTCAACTTTGATATTACATTGTCTAGACATTTCTATTGTTTCTCCTTACCATTAAGCAAATACACATAATCATTTCTAATGCAATTCTCAGTAAAAGTAAAAAATATTTTTTCCCACCATGAGATGGTGTTAACTTCATATCACAAATGTCAATGCGAATCAATTCTAAGGGATTATAATTCGTTTCAACAGATTTATAAGAATGTTCAACATACTTAGATTCTACAAAAACTTGACATTTTTATTTATTGCACTCAAAGTTAGGCAAAACTTCTATGTGAATCAGGTTTCCTTTCAAGGTTTTGTAATTGACATGCCCCAAGTGTTCATGTCACAAACATTGACTCAAGCAAGTAAGAACAAATGAAAACATTGAGTTTGAAAAGCTCTTCGCGAGGTAGCTTTTTCTTCACTAATATTTTTTTCCTATTTCTTACAATTTTGTGTGATACAAACATTGTTTAGATTGTCAAATATCCTTTTCAGAAAGACACTTCCATAACTTTCAATGTGATTGTTATAGAACTACATATGAATAAAGTTTAATCAGGATCAATAAAAACAATATAGTCCAAATGTTATTTTTACAAAAATATAACAAATGACTATTCACCAATATTCATGTCAATGCAAATTCTTTTATTACAATAGACATATTTTTTCATGAAAAATCACAATATTTTAAGTGATTTTTTTCCCATAAAAGAACACAATTATTTTGAACAAGTATATATATATATATATAATTTGGATGTTTCATACTAGTCACACTATATACTAGTAATAGAGAAACTCAACAACCACAATACCAAATATACTCCAAGAATTTTATTGGTATAACACAATACAAAAGTATCATTGAATTTCATATCTTTTGCTCCAAAGTTAAATTAGACACAAAGTCTAATCATAAACAAATAACTCCCACATTTCAAATGTGATCTCAAAAATATTTTTCAAGTATTTAAAAATAGTTTTTCCACAAATTTTAATGTTGAAAACATTATTCTACGAAAGAATTATAGTGCTGCAATTCTCTTTGACAATGTTTACACAATGTCAAAGTTCATTCCATAGAG